AATTTGATGAGAAGAATTTTAAAGAAAAATGGTCGTGAATAAACAAGAGGTCTAGGGGGCGTTTTTGAATAGACTGGTAAATAAATAAATGAATGAATATATGGGGAGAAAATTGTAAATTTGGTCTTAAACTTTTGTTGTTTCTCATATTTGGTCCCAGACACGTCATTTATGGTCTTTTTTTATTTTTCGTTGCCAAAACGGTACCACTCCGTCAAGACTTAATAGTCTTCTTCGTTAAGACGTTAGTCGTTATTTTAAATTTGGAGAAAATTGCAAATTTGGTCTCAAAACTTTTGTTGTTTCCCACATTTGGTCCCAAGTAGTTCGAGAAGAAAAATCGAACAGAAAAAAAAAAAGCTCACTCCGGGATTCTTGACCTCTCTTATGCTTTCAAATGTCATAGTGTCATGTTGCCTTGTGGATCGATATGCTTTCGTTGTACAATCGTTCGGATGACTTTATTTTGCACTCGAGGATTTTCGGATTATTTTCTCTATTCCCATCGGAAGAACACCATTGGACACACGGTGGTACACCACCATGTAGTGTACGCGCTTTCTTTTCCTTATTCTCTTTTTCTCTTGTTTCTTTGCTTGTGTTCGTGCTCGTTTTCTTTTCTTATTTTCATTTCTTTTTTTTTTCGCTCTTTTTTCTCGCGTGAGCTTGTGTGATTATGTGCTCTATCCTGTGCTTTTTGGTCAAGTAATGAGGACATTGCTTGTGATCATGCATGCTTAAGCGGTATTTCTTTCGTTTTAGGTGCTTTATTTTTCGTATTTGTCGTGTCATGGACCGGTTTTTGTTATTGTTTTTGTGTTTGTGTCGATTTTCCCACATGAAACTTGATGTTTGTTTAAAGTCAAGATGGCTAAGTGGTGAGTTAAGATTTTCGTTCGGTATCATTGTTAATTTTCATCTTTATGTACTTGATGAATTGGATGGTACCTTTAAAATTAAATGATGATTTGTTAGCATTGGAACCCGCATTAATTTGAATTCACGGAATTGTTTTGTCCTTTGTTTGTTCTCGATTGATGATCTTGAAATATTCTTGCCTTGTGTTCGATCGTTGTAATCGTATTATGCTATACACTTGTGGTACGTCTTTGATTGTTGATGCTAATGTATTGTATCGTGATGTATCCTTGTGTGCCGCTCCCTTCGATGAAAATATAATAAAATGTGAGTTCGCTAGGAAGTACGGATTAGACTCCTCTTATTTCGATTCACTTCGTGAAATGAGATAATGAGCCCGAGAAACCGGTCTAGGAAACTCGAGGAAACCCTCGAGGCTAAACCTAGATAATCATCATCCAAAAACCTCGTTTGGAAAAAGCTCACAGAAAAAAAAAAAATGAATAAAAATGAGCTCATGAGAGTTGAAAGGATTAGACTCCGCTTGACTCGGTTAGTCTCTTTCGAGATAAATCGGAACAATGAGTATGGGAAACCGGCCTAGGAGATTCGGGAAAAAACTCCAATAATAAACTTAGGAAATATTCGTCTTAACGACTCTCATTTGGAAAAATTTACTCATATATATATATAGAAAGAGAAAAAGAAAAAAAATGGAGAGTTGGCTATGTGGTTCCGTTTTTATTTGCTTATTATATGTTGAGTAGACTATCTATAGCTTTTTGCACGTGTATTTGGGAACAAATGGAGTTTGAATCGAGTTAATCATGTGTAAAATGACTCGGGACGAGTTTTCATTTTGTATGGATTCATCTTGTGGGGACCGTGCCTTCGAATTTGAGTTTAATTTTGTTGATAACTTGCGGAAGATGAGAGTTTCATTTCGCATGATTATTAATTTTGGACATGTTCGATTTTTCTTCTCGAACTACTTGGGATCAAATGTGGAAAACAATAAAAGTTTTGGGACCAAATTTATAATTTTGTCCAAATTAAAAATAACGACTAACGTCTTAGTGAAGAAGACTGTTAAGTCTTGACGGAGTGGTATCGTTTTGGCAACGAAAAATAAAAAAGAACCATAAATGTTGTGCCTGAGACCAAATGTGGAAAACAACAAAAGTTTTTGTGACTAAATTTGTAATTTTCTGGGCCCATGAGTTTTGGTCGTTTGGCCGGTTGTTGCCTGCTAACGTGCGCAGACTGTGAATTTTTTCACTGTGAGGGTAAGGGCCGGATTTGACATGAATCTGATTGTTTTTAAGGTTTTTAATATTTATTTTAGAAAAAAAATGTGGTGTTGCGTATCTAACATTAAGAGAAACTGTACCTATACCCTTTAATCCTCTGCACTTTTCGAGCCCACTGTTAACATCTTTATTGTTGAATACAACTTAAAATCATATCCGTGGTGTTGTGTATATTTATGAAAAGGGTGTTACCAAATATCGCTCTTATTATTATTTACCGCCTTAAAAAGATAGTTTAACCTTTTTTCAACTATAAAATATATATATTTTTCTTTTTAGGCCAGTCGGTCGGCCGCAAATCGCAGCCGTAACCGTGCTGGCCTTCTTTCCCGGTTGGTCGCACCGTGCACGGCCGGTTTTGCCGGTCGGCCGGCCGGCCGGATTTTTTTTATTTATCATCAAATTTTTATTTATTATATACATTATATTAGAATTTAGATATTATGTTAAAAATTAAAATTTATTATCTTCTAATTAGAATTTAGAAACTGTTAAATTATAAATTATAACTATTTATCTTATAGAATTTTATTATTATATTAGAATTTAAAAATTATTATATTATATAACATAATACTAATTATCTCTAACAAAATACTAATAAGTGATGTTATTAAAATTGTAGTCCCATTTTGAAAAATACTCATTACCTCTAACATAATACTAATTATCTCTCACATAATACTAATTACCTCACTAAAATACTATATTTTGAAAAAAAAAAGAATTGCATGGGACAAAAAGTACAAAACCAGATTCATTATAGTAGCAATCCGGTGTTGGTGAGCTGTGTTTGATGTTGGCGAAATGGGCTGACTTTTGTGGGCACCCAAGAGGCGTTCACTTGCTAAAAAGCAGTTGAACAGAATAGTATCTGTTCGAGCCCCCGGCCCATACTTGGCCCATTGTGGCCAGTTTTTTAATATAAAATAATATAAAAGCATCTATGCTCGTCAGAGATGTTGTCACGTGCCTGGGTGTGATTTCCAAAAGACAACGAGATTTTATTAAATAATTTAATGCATTTGGTTTTAGTTCTGACTTTTATGTGATTTTATTAATAGTGTGATTTTGACCAGTGTCACCCCATCTATGATATTTTGAAGAACTTTTAGAGCTTGCTTGTTATCAATATATTGTTTTAATGGGTGTTTTTGTTAATTAGGATTAATTTTTAAAAAGTTTGGTATGATTTATTGTAAATATTAATTTGTGAATATTACCTAGATATAGGCTTTGTGGATATGGGTCAGGAGCCCATTAAGTCTTTAGTCAGATATATTTCCTTATATAGGGCTCAAGTGAATGCATAAAATGATGGTTTAACGGCATATCTCTCCTCTCTTAATACTCTACCATCTAAGCTAACAGCGACAATATCAAGACGAACGGGCAATTAAGGTAACAATAAAGAATTATATGCTTATTCGTCAAGGTACTTTCAATCCATTTTGTGATTATATGCTTATTCCTTATATTCACTGCTTGAAGAGAAAATCTTGGCGATCAAATCTTATATTTTTGTATGTTATATTTATTATCTGATGTTTGCCGAGATGAATTTTTAGCTGTTGCTGCTTTTCTACTAATCTAAAGATGAACAAAACATTCGTGATACCTAATCAGTTTAAATACAGCTTTCCTCTTTGCTAATTTATGAGGGTTTCACAAGTTGCAGTTGATTTTCTTGTAATGGCCTTTCCATTGAATTCATAAAAACAACCTAGGATTGTATTTGCCTGTCAAAGATTGAGATAGCATTCTACCGCCTCTCATATATGATTACTGGTATGGGCTGTAAATATATATATAATAAAAAAAAAAAATGTGGAAAATCATCTGCCTCACCGTCTTTCACACCATCAAACAGAGTTTTTCCAAAGATATAGTCGCTTGACTTGTTGAAGTTTATGATGGGCGAATTTTCAAAAATTGATAGTTTCTTGATTGGTGATTGCTATAATATGAGTAAAGAATTGTTTGAAGATGTATTAGCTAGAAATATCTCAGTTGCTCATTTGATTTTTTTAATTATCTATAGTGTGTTATTTGAGACCGCCTTGGTTGTTTTTCAATTCTTACAGATGCATTTTGATTGTTTCATAGATTATATAAAAAAATGGTGGAAATATTGAATATATATTATTGATGCTTTATAGCTCAATTTATGATCATCTTTATAATATGGTTGGTTGAGAAGATAGAATTGTGAAATTATGAAAATGGTGAAATATTATTTAAAGAATATATATATACATATGATGACTAGTAGTCCCAGAATGATTAAAACAATGCATCGGTTGTCTATATGATGACAATCAATATTTCATTTATCGATAGCGTGTAAGTTGACAATGAATTTCTTATACATTCTCTGAAGGATCTTCTATAAGTTAACAATAAGGTTTTTATATACTCTCCGAAGGATCAACACCGATGTAAGTATCACCCATAATTCACAATAAAGTTTTGGTATGCTCTCTGAAGGATCACCACCAATACAAGTATCAAAATAAAAAAAATGATTACACTATGATTAAGTCTTGATGACTAATTTTGAATTAAGATGCTGTCGAATATTTTATAATGTGTTATTAACAGTTTGTATTCCCGAAGTAATACATGAGAATAATGAAATCCAACCAAATCAATACTCATGGACACAATATATTAAGAATAGTGATATAAAAGTAGTTCATTGAGATTTTATTAGTGCCAGAAGCACATGTACAAAAGTATAATTTGTCACATGAGATATATGATAGAAAATTATATCTTCTAT